GCTAGTTTGGTAAGTATTTAGATGTAGATATTGACAATCTTTAACGAGGATGTGACATTGAAAAGTGTAAACAAACTGTATTCCAGTTCTTCTCTTATTTTGTAAGAATGGATATTAATGTTTTAAGTTCAGTCATTAAGTTGATGGTTAGATACCAGAAAATTGGACCAGTATTGTCTGCATGCAATGTAATTGGGATATCAAGATACATATCATCAAAACTATTTTGAAACCATTGGATTTGTGTAATACTAAAAATATTTTTCTTATCCTAATTTTCCATTTCCATTTTAGCATACCTTCTATTTCTTTATTTTACAATGTCATAGTATTTCTACTCAGCTTACTCCTATAAGATAATATCCTCTTATTCTTTAAATATTTAGTTTTACTTAATCTATCTCCATATTATCTAAGTATTTCTTATCTTTATCTATTTTAATATCAATCTCTAGTATGCTATAACTTTAATCTTACAATTAATTCTTTATAGTTTAGCCTCTATGAGCTTTATCGTCTATACTCTAAATTCTGCGCACTTTAATCTTTTCTTTTGTGATTATATAACTACCTTAATGTTTTCTGTATTTCTTAGTCATATCTGTTTTCAGCTCATCGGGTAATATATATTGTAATTTACTTGAAACAGTTTATACTGACAGATAATACAATGGGACAGTCTGCATATTCATGATTCTCTTAAGGTTAACATTAAATTAGTTTTGCCAAAGAATAGTCCTAATTTTTAAGGTCAAGCTTGTAACCTTACCATACTATAGTAGCTGACAGGTCCCAAACAATAGAATGGAGCCTGCTAACTCCAACCAAAATTAGCCATTTTTAGGATAGAACAAAGTATACTGCCAGCTGACAGTTCCAAATGGTATGGGTACAGTCGTGTCCCGAAAGTAGTAATACCCTGGCAAAGCAACCGCGTAATACAACCACTCCAGCTTTTCGTCAACCACCATGGCTCCACTATATGACCTGGGAGAAAATAAAGATCAGAATCAAGAGATTTATGCCTTGTATAAGTATACAGATATAGGGTATAATAAATTTTCAAAGGCTTTGGAGGTCTCTAAGGCAACTGTTCAAAAGGTTGTAACTAAATGCAAGGACAGAGGAGGAGATACGCACTATGCTTCCAAGTTTAGCCATTCGACAAAGCTTACCAATGTTAAAAGAAGAGTAGAAGAGGCTATTATTGATGCCAAGCCTCATTTAGCATTACACAAAATTACCCAAAAAGCAAATATTGGTCTTGGCAAGACTACTATATATGAAATCATATCAGATACTGGTTTTAAACTTCTGATATCAAGGAAAAATCCTTTTTAGGGAAAAGGACAGAAGGGGAAGAGAAAGGAGTTTGCTAGGAGAAGGAGAAATTTGAGGAGGGCATGGAATTGGGTGATCTTTGTTGATGAAGCTACAATTATCTATGATACAAATCCTACTGGAAGGAAGATCAGGATAAGAGCTGGTAAAGAGTTAGAGGAAAAAAACTTAAAGCCTAACTTTAAGTCAGGAAGGACTAGCATTGGGGTCTATACTGCAATAATGAATGATGGCAGGACTGAGGTAATTCTTTTGAGGAAGAGAACTGAGGAGGAAAGGACTAGTAAAAGGGATAGACTTGGCCTTAATTTCCACCAATATGCAACTGAGATCCACCAGCCTTACCTCATCCCTTTTATAGAAGGTCTTGATGGACCTGCTTAATACATCTCCCTAGCTGCAGATAATTACTCATGGCATGGTGGTGCAGAAAATCAGAAATTGCACTCAGACTCTGGTTATTAGAAATTGCCTTGGCCATCCAACTCCCTAGATCTCAATCGAATTGAGAATTCTTAGGCACTTCTCAAAAGAGCCCTCAGGAGGGATTCTCCAGGTTGAATAGAAGGCCCCGCAGTGCTGCTGGATTATTTCTGGCAGTAAAGAAAGAGTGGGATTTAATTCCTCAGGAGACATTGGATGGATGGATAGTTAGGATGCCAGAGAGAATTCAGCCTGTATTGGATGCAGAAGGAGGTTATACAAAATGGTAGTAGGATTTTTTGAAAGCCTATTGTATCTACTTTCAGTTTTCTTTTAATTGAGTTTCTACTTTTATTTTTTCTA